TCTCTCTCTCTCTCTCTCTCTCTCTCTCTCTCTCTCTCTCTCTCTCTCTCTCTCTCTCTCTCTCTCTCTCTCTCTCTCTCTCTCGCTCGCTCGCCTGCGCGCCTTTTCGTTTTTGATTGTGTGTGCTCGCGCGACAGTCTGTGGGTATCACAGGCAAACAGACACTGAGAGATCGGAGATTTTCACACCTTCCGTTTGCTGTGCGAGTTTTTCCAGCGCCTTCCCAGCTCCCTCGAATTGAGAGATTATGCTCCTGATCTGCGCCAAAGAATCGTTCAAAACATTTAATTCCTGGTCCAACTGATCCTTTGCTTGCCTAAGCTGATCGCAGCTGAGATGATTTAGATCAATAACCATTTCACCTTGCGCGCTTGCCATTTCGACTTTTCCCGAAGACCTGCTGTTCTGCTTCTTGCCTCCCCCTTCTTGCTATACCTGCCTCTACTTCCTTGTCAGCCCCTCTAATCAATCTACCAATCACACAATTCTCCACCTCTATACCGGCGCCCACGTGTCAATCACTCGTGCTGCGCACGTGCAATACCTCCTTTGGACAGGTCCTCCAAATCCTCAAGGCATACTCCCGCCTGTCCAAAAACTCTAGCCCGCGATTTTTCGGGCGGCGTGGTCGTACTGGCCACGCAGATAGCGACCAGATACACAAGTACCTGAAACTCCGCTTGCTACCAGTCGCTTGCGCGTAACCTGTGTGTGTGTGCTTTTCCTCCTTCGCCGCGCTCACACGCAAAACCTCTGAAACGAAGATGCCGCCGAGCGCGTCCCCGCTCGACAATCCGCGCGCCAACCCGCGCGTTTTACAAAATTCGTGGCGCCGAGATCTGCAGTCGGAGACGCGCGCCGCGCCGGACTGCAACCATCAGTTCCTCAGAAAACTCCTGCTACTCAAATTGCTACCGCTGGCTGGCCACCTTTTATGCTTTCGCATTGCATTGCCAGAATCGTCTCCGTGAACCTTTTACGCTTTCGCGTTGCATTGCCTGAATCGCCTCTCTGTGATTTCAGCCGCGTTGGGCAACATTCCACCACTTCCCAACGCGCTCCCCAACGCGCTACCGACCGGTAGCCGCACCACTCTGCAATTGTGAAGAGGACAAAAATGTGGCGGGTTGCCTGGAAAAAAAAAAAAAAAAAGTGGCGGGCGCGTCTGGCCACGTTCTAGCGGGAAGTTCGTTCTCTTGTTGCACATGTCGAGAGTGGTTGTAGGGGGAGGTGCAGCGACTGGCCCCGCCGGTTTTCCACATCGGCGATGCCTGCCCACCCCCATCACCGTGATGAGGGGCTGGTACAGCCTTGCTCTCGCACCACCGCCGTACGAGTGCATGTTCCTGCAGAGAGTGGCAACATATGCATAGCCGTGGATGCACCTTACCATTTTCCGAGGAAGATGCATCTGTTCTTTCTTCGTTTGCACAGTGGTGTGGCCAGGCCCAGATGAGGAGACTCGTGCGACAAGGCACCAAATGCGGAACGGAATGGTGCCACTGGTCCTTCGGGACAGAAGGTGAAAAAAAAGAGAACATGGAACGAACAAAACAGACTACTTCGCTTTAAAAAAAAAAAAAAAAAAAAGACTACTTCTTCAGTGGCTCCAGTAAACTAGACTCTGGAAAATTGGAGAGTTCGGCCTGGCTCAACTACACTAGAGAAACCTCTCCAAACTCTCCAAATTGACTTACCGGGTGCGCAGCCCATAGTTGGTTTGTTGATGCGGTTGGGGAAGGGTGAGGTAGTGATTATGGTGTGCGTATGTTTGCTATATTCGCTGTACACAACCCGCCGAGTGTGTCCGGGGGGGTCTGGCTGGTGCTCTATTAATGATGTTCATGGGACCCTGGACCCAGTTTCAAGTATGTGTCGCTCCCCACCAATAGACAAAAGAATGTGTGTGTGTGTGTGTGTGTGTGTGTGTGTGTGTGTGTGTGTGTGTGTGTGTGTGTGTGTGTGTGTATTCGCAGCCCGTCAGGGTTGCGTTTTCCCCCCGGAAGACATTTTTCGTCGTCGTCGTTATACCGGTCGTTCATTCCGGCTGGTTGGTCGTTGGAAGGCTCCAAAAATGCAGGCACGTGCAGGCAGGGCAGGCAGGTCACTTTAGGGGCTAGTGGCAGCTAGTGGCAGTTTCTTTTGGACCGGTAGCTGCACGTGGGACTGCGCACGCACACTGGGTTGGCGCAGGCCGCGGTCCTTGAGCGGTCCTTGAGCTGAGAATTTCAAAAAGGAAAGGGCATGGGGTCGGGGGCGGAAAAGGCCAGGCAGGTCACTTTAGGGGCTAGTGGCAGCTAGTGGCAGCTAGTGGCAGTTTCTTTTGGCCCGGTAGCTGCTCGTGGGACCGCGCACGCGCACTGGGTTGGCGCAGGCCGCGGTCCTTGAGCGGTCCTTGAGCTGCGAATTTCAAAAAGGAAAGGGCGCGGGGGCGGGGGCGGAAAAGGCCGAA